TGAAGGAGAACGGGAAGGAAGAGGAAAAGTGGGGTGTGAGCCCCAGGAGCGTGTGTCTGAGGCCTTCTAGCAGAGAGGCAGGAAGGTGCCTGCCCCACGTGCCCAGGCCCAGATGCCCCGAACAGCACAAAGTTGGTAATCTGTAAAGATTGGAGAATGAATGAACCAAGCCTTTGCGTAGACAACCCAGCCGACATGGGGAAACTTGTGGACACGTAACAGTACCAGCAGAAGCGCCACTCACTAGGAGACTCTGAACACTAAAAACCGGTGAATGGGCAACGGGTTTTGCAAGCCTATATGACCTGTTAGGCAGATGCACAAAGAAATAAATGGGACCGAGCATACTGGGCTGGTGGAGCTGAAAGGCGTGACTGGGAAACCAGTCTTGTGGAATTTGTGTGTGTGCACATGGATATGCTCCCGAGCAGCTCCTTATTGGTTTCACTCCAGATGTTAATTTGCACCTGCTCTCTGAGGGTCCTGGTGACACAGGACCAGACAGACATTAAATTCACCTCAGCGACATTCTGTCCCACTCTGTCCAGGGTGCTGGGGGAACGGACATTGAACAAGATTCTCCCACTTAGAACTCCAGGAACATAGTGACAGTTTCCCACTTTGTGATGGGTTTCCAGGCTGAGAGAGTCACTAGCTCCACTGTTGTGTATCAGGTTACAGGTGGGAAACTGAGGCACAAACCAGCCAACGACTAACCCCAGATTACCCAGCAAGATTGTAACTGACCCAGGCTTAGGACAAAAGGTACCCAGTAGTCTATAGGAACCTCAGAGAAGCCCCAAAGTGGCGCAGCACCTGACATCCTCTGCCTACCCAGTGCAGTGTCACACCCAGGGAGGTGTTGCCTGGGAATGGGATGGGCAGCCGGGTCCCTAGTGCCCAAGGGAGTCTATCTTATCTCCTGTCCCTTATCAAACTCAGGGGCTGTGCCTTCCTCTCAGCCTCTGGGGGCATCTGCGGATTCTGTTCTGCCTCGTCATCCAGCCAGCCAGGGAGGAGGAGGAAGGAGAGCTGGGGCCAGGCCTCACTTCCTAGGGCTAGCCAATTCAGGCCTTAGGCCCCCTAAAGGCATTGCCTTGCTGGGTCAGACTCGGTGGGTACCTGTGTATAGGCTTTGTCAGATCTTGGGTGAGGCACAGGATAGCATGGCCATAGTGGGGACCAGAGCCTCACTTAGAGGATCGTATCCTGAACTGGCTGCGACACCACCACCATGCATACCTGCATGGCCTTTGCCGTGCTTGCTGCCCTCAACATCATTGATCGTGTGTGTGTGTGTGTGTGTGTGTGTGTGTGTGTGTGTGTGTGTGTGTGTGTTTTAAGGAAAGCCTCATTGTCAAGGGGTCTTCTATCCATGAATTGGTTGAGTCAGAATCATTTCACACAACAGCTCACAGTTTGCAGCCAGCTTTTCAAGTGACCAGAGACCTTCAGCAGTTGGCAAATTTGCGTTATATGTGTATAGTTGGCTCTTTTTTGTTGATGCTGTTTTTGAGATGGTCTCCCTATATAGTCTTTGTTTACTTGGAACTTGCTTTGTAGACTACAGGCTGGCCTCGAACTCAGAGTTCATCCTGCTTCTGCCTCCCAAGTGCTAGGATCAAAGGTCAGTTAGCTTTTAATAAATGCTAGTCAAGATAGAGGTGGGTAAGGAACCTGAATTTGGGGATCGGGATAAGGCTCCGAATTCGCCTCACAGACAATCAGTTTTCTCACAAACTTGTGGGTTATCTGGTTAGGTGGAATGACCCTGGGGGTGTACACCCTTGATTGGATTTTCTTCCTTCCCCAGGTGCCAGAGGCACACAGGAGGAGGGCAGGGCAGGGTTGGGTAGAGAGGAGCCCCACAGATTGGCAGCCAGTTCTAGGACAGGGTATTTGCATGTGACTTTTTGCTCTTGCCTTGATAGAGCTGGGAGGAGGGAGAGGAGGAAGTGACTTCTCGGGGAGGCGAGCAAATGGAGGGTTGGGTGAGGGACCTGGGTGGAGGGGGAGCCTGAGGAGTTCCACTTCTGGGGAGGCCTTGCCACAGGCTAGTGAATGGAGGTCTCTTGCTCACTTGCAGTGAAGCAATGGCTGTGGGCACACAGGGTACAGGCGGTATGGAGGGGCCACCAGAGGCTTTCTCAAGGGGACACTGCAGCACTTCCTCCTTCCTTGGGGAACCCAGTTAGGGACCCAGCCCAGCCCTGCCCCTTTCCCAGAATTCAGCTTCTACACTACACTGGGTCAGATGGAGACACTGCTGAGGAAACTGAGGCCAGGCAAGCTAGATTGATTGCCTAAGGTTGTCAATTAACTGGAGCTGGGTCTGGCCGCTTCCCACTGAGTTGGACATGCACAGTCTTCCACTCAACTCTATGGTGCCTCTGGAGGTCCCACAAAAACTGGGTGGTGTGGGTGAGGCAGTGATGGCCAGAAGTATGCAGGTGTTGGAGTTCCAGATTCAGGTCCTGATGTGTTGTCGCAAAGACGTGTGGTTCCCTCCCTGACATGCTCTGTGTTCCTGCAGTGTGGGTTTTTTATTTGGTTAGTTTTTTTGAGACCTTGCCTATGTAGCCCTAGCTGTCCTGGAACTCGCTATGTAGACCAGGCTGGCCTTGATCTCAGAGAGACTCTGCCTCTGCCCCCTAATGCTGGGACTAAAGGCGTCATGCATCATCCCCAGCCTAATGTTTTTAGTTTTATTTTTCAAGTTTCTATTCCAGTTCGCCTGTTCCTCGCTGCTTCTGCAGGTTGGGTGGGAACTGTGGAACATTAATCGACCTGTCTCAGCTGCTCTTGTGGTCCAGCAGCTACAGATGGGGCTCACCTAGGTAGGGCAAGGGTAGGGGCATCCTGAGTACCAGCCTTCCTACCACCACCTTACTGGGGTCAGGGAGATAGTTCTGGTGCAGCACTTGGTGTAAGGGGCCTGGGAGGCTGCCCAGGCTGCCTGTGGTATCTCAAGCATGTCCCGTACCACATAGGATCTCTGGCTGGCATGTCTTGGCCTCTTAAGTGACCCCTTCCACTGTGGTGTCCTTGTCTATCTGCTTTCTTGTGTGTTTGCCCCTCCCTCCCTCCCTCCCTTCCTCCTCCTCCCTTCTTTTTCTCTTTCTGTCTCTCTCTCTCTCTCTCTCTCTCTCTCTCTCTCTCTCTCTCTCTCTCCTTCCCCCCCTCCCCCAGCGTCTCATTATGTAGCCTTGGCTTTCCTGGAACTGACATGTAGAGTGTAGACCAGGGGCTGGAGAGATGGCTCAGTGGCTCAGAGGTTAAGAGCACAGACTGCTCTTCCTGAGGTCCTGAGTTCAATTCCCAGCAACCACATGGTGGCCCACAACCATCTGCAATGGGATCAGATTCCTTCTTCTGGTGTGCATGAAGACAGAACACTCATATACATAAAATACATGAATAAATATTTAAAAAAAGAGATCAACTTGCCAGTTGGACAACTTGCCTTTCACTAGGACATGGTGGCACATGCCTTTAATCCCAGAGGCTGGTGGATTCTCTTGAGTTTGAGGACAGCCTGGTCTTTAGAGTACATTCCAGGACAGCCAATGCTACCCTAACCCTGTCTTGAAAAACAAACAATGATGTGACAGATTTTGATGATCCCACATGGGAGGTCTCACCCTTGGCGGGGGGGGTGGATGGGGGAGTTGGGGAGGGGGAGAATGGGAGGGAGAGGGAACTGGGATTAGTATGTAAAATAAAATTTATTTTTAATTTAAATAGGAATTTATTTTTTTTTAAAAAAAAAAGAAGAAAAACCAAACAAAAAGTGTAGACCAGGCTGGCCTCACCCGCTTGCTTCTTGAACACTGGGTTAAAGGGTGCACCATCACTACCCGCTTCGTATCTACTTTGTTGTTGTTTTCCAGACAGGGTTTTTCTGTGTAATAGCTCTGACTGTCCTGGTACAGAGATCCGCCTGCCTCTGCCTCCTGAGTGCTGAGATTAAAGGCGTGCGCCGTCGCCACCACTGCCCGGTTCTTGTCTACTTTCTTAATCTGCAGGATTCCTGCTGAGTAGGGGGAGTGACTGAAATACCTGAAATGTCCTCACTGTTCTTTTTGGTTCTTATTCTGGGAGCCCTTAGTGTGGGTATCCAGAAGGACCGCGTGTGTCCTGGGTTTGTGAAGGGCGTGCTGGAGTGTGCGAGCTCGGGACCCCAGTGCGATGCAGCTCCCGGTTGCTCCTGCAGGTGGCGCTGGGAATCGCAAAGGCAAAAGCAAGAAATGGCGCCAGATGCTGCAGTTCCCCCATATCAGCCAGTGTGAAGAGCTGCGCCTCAGCCTCGGTGAGGCCCGGGGGACGCTCCCGACTGCCGGAGCAGACGGGGGTCTGCCCAAGAGGACCTTTCCAGACCTTGCCCTGGGTCACAGGGGCACCATGGGGGAGGGTGTGTCCAGTGCCCAGAAAGACTGCGGTTACTCGATCCCACCCAGTTTCACCTCGTGGGTGTGGAACGTGTGGAGAGCAGAGACTGGGTCCTGCCTGGTGTCAGCGGCGTGGGCACGGGGAGAGGAGGGCTGGGCTGGGCTGGAGGAAGGAAAGAAAGGCAGCCTGGGGCCAACAGGTTTGGAACACCAGCCTGTGCTTATGAACCTCATCCAGGCCAGACCTGAGGGCACCCATCAAAGCTAGAGCAGTGTGCTCCGGTTGTTTCTAGAAGGGATAGAAGGGCTCCCATTCGTATTTCTTGGCTGAGGATCTGAACAGTACTCAAGATGGCTTGCATGAGGGTAGAATGTACCCTGCTTGGGAAGGAGGCCCAGCTGAGGGCAGCGGAAGCCACAGCTTCCTCTCGCACTTTCGCCAGGCAGGCAACAGGTGTAGACTTGGGCTGGGCTGGGCTGGGCCGGAACCACACAAGACCACACCCAACCCCAGAACTGTGACATGCAAGTCTGTGAACCAGGGCCCTGGCCTCTGTAGTCCAGACTCCTGGCTCTTTGCCACTGAGTTGAAGTAATCAACCTCCCTGGGTCCCATACCCCCCAAGTTACATTGGTGTAACCGTGGTGCCTGCCTGAGGATTGCAGTGAGGGCTCTGAAAGAGATAATGGCTACTACCACTCTTGGGCCTAGAAGTTAGTGGATCCCAGATGTGGGGTATAGACCAGAGTGCCCTGCCAACGATTTCTTAGTCTGTGACCCAGCAGCTCCCCTGTTGGCCTGCAGAGCGTGACTACCACAGCCTGTGTGAACGTCAGCCCATTGGGCGTCTGTTATTTCGTGAGTTCTGCGCCACGAGGCCTGAGCTGACTCGCTGTACTGCCTTCCTGGATGGGGTGGTGAGTGTCCTGCCCCAGGGCCCGGCCCAGCACTGGGGGCAAGCAGAGGTCTTGGCCACTGCCCCTCCCCCCATGTCTGTCACTCCTCTCAGCCCCAAGCTTTTTTGCTTCTCACCCTGCAGGCTGAGTATGAAGTGACCCCTGATGAGAAACGGAAGGCATGTGGGCGGCGACTAATGCAGAATTTTCTGAGCCACACGGTGAGTGAGCAGTGATGGAGAGATGACGGCAGCAGGCAGGGCCCAGTGACATCAGGCAGAGGAGTGACCACAGCCTGGGCAGTGAGTGCCTTGGGCCTGTTCCAGGCAGCACCATGGGCATGCAGCCCAGGGATTGGGCTGAGCTTGGGTCAGGCAGCCTGCCAGTGGCTGTCTTACCCTGTCTCGAGTGGAGGGGGGCAGGAAGGGAGTTCAGCAAAGAGGCAGCCAGTGCACTACCCACCCACAGCCACCCTCGGCACCCACAGACAGCTGGCAGTGCTGCCTTGGGAGCAGGCAGCTGTCCAAGGGAGCCCTCTGCATTGACCTGTCTGGGTCTGTCCTAGGGTCCTGACCTCATCCCTGAGGTTCCCCGACAGCTGGTGAGTAACTGTGCCCAGCAGCTAGAGCAGGGACCCTGCAAAGACCTCTTCCAGGAGCTGACCCGGTAAGGCTCCATACCCACAAGTGTGGAAATTGAGCTAGGGAAGGGGCTCTGTGGTCCCTGAAGTCCGGCAAGCTCAGCTCCTCTCCCTGTCCATGCCCTCCCCTCTTGTGTCAGCATGGAATGCGTGTCTCCTGGTCCCTGTGTTAGTGAGATGGTGGTAGAGGGCAGGGTGGTGCTTTGTGGGCTGAGCAGACGTGTGATGGGCGGCCTGGGCCCCCAGGCTGAGCCTGGCTTTGTTAGGGACTTACCCTACGGGCTGACCCTTTCCCGACAGGCTGACCCATGAGTACCTAAGCACGGCGCCTTTTGCTGACTACCTCGACAGCATTTACTTCAACCGTTTTCTGCAGTGGAAGTGGCTGGAAAGGTGAGCTCCTCCAGGGCCACACTGGAGAGACAAGGTTGGGGGTTTCCTTATGGGAAAACCCGCATAAATGCTTATTTCTTTTACTCTTGCCTATAGGCAGCCAGTGACCAAAAACACCTTTAGGCAGTACCGAGTCCTGGGCAAAGGTGGCTTTGGGGAGGTGAGTGGCCGGATGATACCTTTGCAGAGTACACTGGATGGGGGGCAGCAGGCTTGGACCCTCCCGCCTCCAGCAAGAGCATGGCTGGCCCTCACCTGTTCGTGTCTACCCTGGCTACAGGTGTGTGCCTGCCAGGTGCGGGCCACAGGCAAGATGTATGCATGCAAGAAACTGGAAAAGAAACGGATCAAGAAGCGGAAAGGGGAGGCCATGGCGCTCAATGAGAAGCAGATCCTGGAAAAAGTGAACAGTAGGTTTGTAGTAAGTACACAGGAGCTCTCTCCCTTCCTTCCCTTCGTTCACACTGTTGTCGGTGTTCCCCACCCACCAGGCTAAAGTCCCTCCCTATTGCCAAAGGGACTGCCCTCTGCTCTGCTCTGTCCCTTCCTGCCCTGGCAGTACCTAAGAAGGGTGGGGTAGGAGTGCTATTCCAGGCTCAGGAAGCCTGCTGAGCCCTAAGGAGTGGCACACAGAAGATTGTTTGGGTGGCTGCCATGAGCACACAGACATACACACGCAGGCACACATGTACACACACATGTACACACACACACAGTGTGAGCGCCAAGGCACCCCCCCACAGCTCCTGAAGGTTTGTTTCTCCTGAGCACAGGTGAGCTTGGCCTACGCCTATGAGACGAAGGATGCACTGTGCCTGGTGCTGACACTGATGAATGGAGGGGACCTCAAGTTCCACATCTACCACATGGGCCAGGCTGGCTTCCCTGAAGCACGCGCTGTCTTCTATGCTGCCGAGATCTGCTGTGGCCTGGAGGACTTGCACCGGGAACGCATTGTCTACAGGTGGGGCTGAGCTTCTCGGTGGCTGTTCCAGGACTTGGTCCTTCCTGGACAGGGGCAGCAGTGAGGTACAGTAGTGGCAGCTAAGGCTGTCGATCAGGCTTGATAGTGAGCTGGAGGTTTGTCTAACCACAAGCCAACACTGGCTCCATGCACACACTTACCCACATTTGATAGTTTGGAGTGCCGCAGACCTAGGTTTTGGGGTCTAGCTGGCTGACCAATGTGTGAATTCTGATTTTTGTCACCCTTCTCTATGTGACCTTGAGCTAGTCAGCTCCCTGCTTCCCACATGAACTCTCTTTCTTGGAGACCGTCATTCCTGCCTTGCAGGTGGGCTCAGTAGTAGAGAGCTGTGCTTATGGTGGTTATGGGTGACACTTTCATCTGAGCCTCACAACAGCCCTCTGAGGGGATGGAAGAGTAGCCTCATGTGACAGAGAAGGTAGAGTTGGCCACCAAGGGAAGGGAGCTTCAACATCAGGGGTGAACGAGTCCAAGGATGATCTCCAGGGATCCCCTCCCCCAGATGGGTCCCTCCACTGGGTGGGAGTCCTCACTTCTTTAGATTGGAGCCATTTCTCACTGCCCTAGAAAGTTCCTGAAGTTCTGGCTCCGGAGGGCCTTGCCCTGGAGAGCAGGGCTCTTCTACCGGGGCAGCAAATGAGCCCTTCAACTTGCTCCATACCTGATCCCAGCAGGCACTTGAGCTAGGAGAGGCTGGCTCTGGCTTCCTGGAAAACCGCAGCCTCTGACTGTGCCTTTTTCTCCCCACAGGGACCTAAAGCCAGAGAATATCCTGTTGGATGACCATGGTGGGTGAGAAGGCCCAGGTGGGAGGGGTGTGATGGGAAGGCCTGGTCCATCAGTGGACCCACCTACTTCAATACCCCTACCCAGGCCACATCCGTATCTCTGACTTGGGACTGGCTGTGCACGTGCCTGAGGGCCAGACCATCAAAGGCCGTGTGGGCACTGTGGGCTACATGGGTAAGTCCCTTTGACCTGGTACACCAGTCTTCTGGTTCCCCTTGCTGTCCTAGGCCTGGCCTATCCACTGCTGTATCTGGGGGAGACACCTCAGAGACTAGATAGCCCAAATCAACACAGCTTCTGCTATATTTTTTGTGGATCAGGACACCAAGACTTAGCCAGATCCAACCATTATGAATGCCTGCTAGTCATTTGCTGGAGGCTTATTGAGCACCTAGGGTCAGGTGGGTCTGTTGGAGTAAAGGTTAAGAGAACCAAATGCATTTCCATGGCCATTCTTCCCTGCAACGGCCCATGCTTGGAATAACATGGCCATCCAAGATACAGGCAGTGGAGACCTACCATGTGGACGGTGTGACATAGTGCAGTCCAGGTTTCCCAGGCTCCGTCTTGGGCTAGTCACTCTACTTTTAGCCTCTGTTTCTGCTGTAAAACCTCATCAGAGCTGGCTTCTGGAGGAGCCTCCCCGGGCGAGTTGGAGATATCAGCAAATGGGTGTTTTCATCCCCTGGGAAATCCAGAAGTTACTAGTCAATGGCTACAAGACCCTGATTTGGCCTACATTAATTCTGAAGTTGAATTGTTTTTAGAATAATTTGAATTGATTGCCAACATTTAATAAGCCAAACAATTTAAATTTTTAAAAAAAAGTGCTGGGGTTCTGGGCTAGGTGTGTTTGTTGTAGCTCATGGGGTACTTGCCAGATGTGTGTGGCCCTGTGTTCAAAAACCTACCACCACCACCACCAAAAACAAACAAACAAAGAACAATTGGTTCTTGAAAAACAAAACAAAGAACCAGAACAGTCGGACCGGGGACGTTTGGTGTGACTCTCTCCCCCACTTCAGGGCCACATCAGCTTGCATTGATGAAATGTGGTTTCTTACACGGCTGAGGTCTCCACCAGGCCAGTGACGTCCTGCCTAGCTAGCAGGTGTTTGAACTAATCCTCTGCGTTTTTGTTTCTGGGGCCCGAGGGCTGTTCTTCACTGTGCACCCAGCCCTGACTCCTGTTCCCCTGCCCAGCTCCGGAGGTGGTAAAAAATGAGCGGTACACATTCAGTCCTGACTGGTGGGCGCTAGGCTGCCTCCTGTATGAGATGATTGCAGGCCAGTCCCCCTTCCAGCAGAGGAAGAAGAAGATCAAGAGGGAGGAAGTAGAGAGGCTGGTCAAGGAGGTGCCCGAGGAGTACTCAGAGCACTTTTCCCCACAGGCGCGCTCGCTCTGCTCTCAGGTATGAGCCATAGGCTTCACTGGCCTGGCCTGGGCTGGAGCTGGGGATCCCTCATCTGTTCAAAGGTACCCCAACCACCTCTGCCCTGCTACAGCTTCTCAGCAAGGACCCTGCTGAGCGCCTGGGGTGCCGTGGAGGTGGTGCCCGCGAGGTAAAGGAGCACCCCCTTTTTAAGAGACTGAATTTCAAGCGGCTGGGAGCTGGAATGCTGGAACCGCCTTTTAAGCCTGATGTAAGTCCCACTCATTCTTGCTCATGGCCTGGACAAGCCAGGACACGGGGCCTTGGAGCAATGGCCTGGTCACTTTCAATGCAAATGTTGAAAAACCCATCTAATGGTTTGGGCTGCCCTCCAAAAAGTCTATGTATGAGTGTTTGTGTGTGTGCATGTGCATGGGTGAAGCCCCACATAGCGTGAGTTTTAGTTCAAGTTGGAATGAGGGTGGACATGGGATGCTCCAGGAACTTGATTCCTCTTTGTCCTGTGGTTGGCTAGTCTTCCATGACAGGCATCTTTTCCCAGGGAGTGGCATTGCTGGACCAGGAGCTCAGGCTCAGATCTTAGCTAGCCAGCTATCCGGTCGACAGAGAGCAACTCTTGTTCAAGAACTTGAAATGAAACTCTAAAACTGTTTGCTGAAGAGATTCACTGGACACTTGGATCACATGCCTTCCGGCCCAGTGGGAGCTTGCCTCCTTCCCACAAGTTTGTGGAGACTGGGTCCAGCTTGGTGTCTGTCAACCACGTGTGTTTATACATTTAACAAATTCCTGAATTCCATATATGTCAGGCTTTGAGATAATGAGGTCCACGGAGCCAGGCCCAGCCTTATGCTCTAATGGAAACACCAAAATAAACCAGCAAGCAAGGAGAGCTTTCAGGTGGTCCTGAGTGCCAGAGGAAAGCGAGTAGGCCAGGAAGGCAGCTATGAGGGGGTGTAATCACTCTCGACGGGATAATCTCTGAGAAGCTGCTGGGAAAGTAGACCTGAGGAGAGAATCATGCAAAGGTCTGAGGACATGAACATTCCAGACAGGCACTGAAGCCCTAGAGCGGGACCAGCCTAGGGACATGGAGCGGCATCTATGAGGCCAGTGTGACTGGAACAATATATGCAGAGCAGGAGCAATGCCATGTTCTAAGGATGGCAGGGTACCTTTGGGGGTTCAACCTGATTTGAGGTGTGGGAGTGGGTCAGAGAGGAGATGAGCGGCCAGGGAGGGAGCCTGAGTGATGGCTCACATGGTAGACGTCACCCACCGAGAGGTCGAGCATCGTCAGTGAGCTGACCCTGCTGCCTCAGGCTGGAGCTGCTGCTCAGGTTAATTCCCGCTCTGTGCTTGTCCTCTAGCCCTGAGATGGTCACACTGCCTGTGGGTCATTGTTCAAATTTAGAAATAAAGTCAGTATCTTGGAACTTAACATTAGAAGCAGTGGATGAAAATGCAAGCTCAACAATGCTTTTTTATTTTATGATTTGTTATGATGTATTTATTATGTATGCAGCATTCTGTCTGCATGTTTGCCTACACACCAGGAGAGGGCATCAAATCTCATTACGGATGGTTTGGTTGCTAGAAATTGAACTCAGGACCTCTGGAAGAGCAGTAAGTGCTCTTAACCTCTGAGCCATCTCTCCAGCCTGCTTTTTTTTTTTTTTTTTTTAATTAAAAAAAAAAGTCTGCATGTGTATCTCTGTGTGGGTATATGAATTCAGGAGTCTGTGGAGGCCAGAGGTGTCGGATCCCCCTGGAAGAGCAGTGAAAGCTTTTAGTATCTGAGCCAGCACTTGGCTGGTTTTTGTTGTTGTTTTGTTTTGTTTTGTTTTTTTGAGGATACAACGTTTCTCTGTGTGGCCCTGGCTGTCCTGGAACTCACTCTATAGACCAGGCAGACCTTGAATTCAGAGATCCACCTGCCTCTGCCCCGAGTACTAGGACTAAAGGCTATCATGCCCAGCTGACAATACATTTTTATCAGCTATTGAGATGAAATCACAGTTAACCCATGTAAAGTATGCAGTTCAGTTGAGTCATGTGATTGTCACCACGTAAGATCAGAATGTTTTCACCAGCCTCTCCAGAACCTAAACAAAACCCTACGTCCATTAGGGTTCAGAGTTCTTTCCTCCTGTCCCAGGAAACCACTAGTTCTCCTATATTCGTCTACTTTGAATAATTTAGCTATGTGGGTATATGGGGTCCTCTGAACATCGTCCTCTGTGACTGGCTTCTTTTGCTAAGAATGCTTTTAGGGTTCATCCAGGTTGGAACATAGGCCAATATGCCATTTATTTTAAAAGCTGAATAATATTCTATTATATGGATATAAATTCTATTCATAGTTGACATGAGGGTATCTTTGGGGTGGGTAGGGCTTTCAGGAATAATGCTATTTACTTTTACTTTTGAGATGAGGTCCCACTGTGTTATCTTTAAGTTTTGAACTGGCAGACTCAAGCATTCTCTCTGCCTCAGTACATGTATTGGTATAAAATTACAAAGTCATATATGGTATATCTTGTAGGGAGCTTGGACTTTTCCAGGTCAGACACACCATTTTACAGGATGATCATGATAGTGTGTGTGTCAGTAGGTAGGCTGGTAGATAGTGTGTGTGCTGAGGATAGAACCCAGGGCTCAAGCATGCTGAGATACGCTGTACACCACTAACTACACCTCTAGCCACGTGATAATGTTTTAATTGACTTCCTTTGTGGTAAGATTTTGAAAGCAGATGGTAGTGGCGGCGGCGGCGCACGCCTTTAATCCCAGCACTTGGAAGGCAGAGGCAGGCAGATCTCTGAGTTCTAGACCAGCCTGGTCTACAAGAGCTAGTTCCAGGACAGCCTCCAAAGCCACAGAGAAACCCTGTCTCAACGCGCCCCGCCCCCCCCAAAAAAAGATATTTTTGAATGCAGTGTAGAGATAGAAAAGAATTGGCCTTCAAATGCAGAGGCCAACTCCCAGTAGGAACTGGGAAGACATGGGAAAAACATTCCAGTACTGGACATTTTAGAGTGGAGACCTCTCCAGTCCCTATAGGGAGCCAGTACTCCTCTTCCCACCCCGGCCCCAGTCACATACCCAGGTAGTCCTGTACAAGCAAAAGGCCGGCCAGCCCAGCCTAGCAGCAACAGGCCTGTGCACAGCCTTATCCCGTCGCTACACAGCCAAGGGTCATGACCCTGGGCTACAGAGGTGAAAAGTGCTTCAGAGATAAGGGAGCACTGCGCTGAGTCATGCATGGGGCACCTTGCCGCTCTCCAGACCAGGGAGCTGCAGGTGTCTGAGTTGGAGGCCTCCTGACTGTTCCCTGTCACCCCAGCCCCAGGCTATTTACTGCAAGGATGTTCTGGACATCGAACAGTTCTCTACAGTTAAAGGTGTGGATCTGGAGCCCACCGATCAAGACTTCTACCACAAGTTTGCCACGGGTAGTGTGTCCATCCCCTGGCAGAATGAGGTAGGGACTCCCCTGCAAGTGGGGTGGGCTCCTGAGGGGTATCCCTGGGGCTCCCCTCACAGCTGCCTATTCCTGGCTAGATGGTGGAAACTGAGTGCTTCCAGGAACTAAATGTCTTTGGGCTGGATGGATCAGTTCCCCCAGACCTGGACTGGAAGGGCCAGCCACCTGCACCCCCCAAGAAGGGATTGTTGCAGAGGCTCTTCAGTCGCCAAGTAAGTCCTGTGGGAGGCAGACCTGTGCCCCGCCCTGCTCCATGGGGATAGTGGGTGGGAGGCAGGGCCGGTGCCCACCTACATTGGGAGTGAGCATCCTCCAGCCCTTCCAGTGGTGCCTAAGGTGCCTCATTCCTGCCTGCCCCCCTCCCGCCCCCGCCTGGCTGGTCTCATGGCCTCTTTTCTCTTTCCAGAGGTGAGCAGTGTGGGCTCCTCATGGGGTGGCCTTGCTGCCTGACCGTGGGGAGCCCCAGGCAGCCCTTCCATGACAGAGGCGAGATGTAGGAGAAAGAAGTCTGGTGCCCACCTTACCCGCTCCCTCCCTGCTGCTTGCTCCCTGCTCCCTGACCCCTTCAGGCTGCTAACCCTACTTAGCATCTGGCTCCCTGTGCCTGAGTCTGTCCAGGGGATGGACAAAGGCCTTGCTCGGCAGATCCTGTGAGCTTCCTAGGCTTACTTGAGTCTGTCGCTGAGAAGCTGTACCCTGACACCACCCATGTTTTGCCCGAGCTGCTTCTCTAAAGCTTGTGGGATCTCCACAGCCCCTTTGAGGGCGTGACACTGCCTTGGTCAGCCTTCATGGTGACTAACGGCACCTGCTGTGCTCTCTCCCTTCGTGTCTCCCCTGTCCCTCCAGGATTGCTGTGGAAACTGCAGCGACAGTGAGGAAGAGCTCCCCACCCGCCTCTAGTCCCCAGGCAGAGGCCCCCACCGGTGGTTGGCGGTAGCAGCTACTCTCAGTGACGTTTACAGTTTTGCACAGTGGTGTTCCCCATTGTCCACTCAAGCTGTGGCCTGGGGAACACAGCCGGAGCTGTCCCCAGTGTCCTCCATCCCTCAACCCCTGGCCCAGCTGAGTTTGACAAGGCCTGGGTCATCTTGGGACAAAGGTGCATCCCTTCAGCTCTCCCCTGTGGAGCTCGCTCGGGGCTTTGTGTATTTATGTATTTGTATGGATGTATATAGCTACCAGAGCGCTCTCAATGCCACCCTGGGCCCGCACCACTTGAGCAGAGTATGGGCCAGGTCAGACCTCTGACCCCAGCGTTGCACTGCTCACCACCAGCCTCCAAGTGAGACTTGTGCCTGCCTGTCGTGGACTTGGGCCATCACCTCTGGTTGCCCAGTGCTGTCACCTTTTCTCAGCATTTGTCAGAGCTGGAGATGGGGGCATTGTATTCTCTATGCCTGGACCATAGTATAACCACAGACTGAACTGACTGGGGCCCGTCAGACCACAAGAAGGGCCGCCTACCTGCCTTCCAGCTCCCAGAGCACATTATTCCTTATACTGGGTCATGTCCTAAAGATACATTTTTTCAGAAGTGCCCCAGCATAGGCCATAGGAGGGGTTAGAATGACCCCTCCAACATTCCAGAATCCCTCATAAAAGTAGACATGTACCCAGCAATGATCCACCCTTCCTTGTGTGTGCCTGGTGGGGGTGGGGGGCTGGGTGTATCAGTGTGTGAAGAGGGTAGGGTGAGGCTGTGCCTAAGCCAAGACCCTACCCTGGCCTGTCCCAGATTCATGGCCGTCCTGATGCTAGTATTCGGACAACATGGGACCGTAGGGCCCTGGCTTTTCCATATTTAAAGCCAATGTGAGCTGCCACACGTCTTGTGTGTGAATACAGTCTGAGCACAAGCCTGGCCAGCCATCGCTGCTTGCTTCTTTTTAAAAATGATTTCTGGTGTTTCAAGATTCTTCCTGCTTTCTTGGTCCAGTCAGAAGGGACTGGAGGTGGACCTGGGGTGGGACTAGGGCTGCCCTTCAAAGGCCCACGAGTCTTCAGGGCTTTACAGGCAGGTGGGAGCTGTTGTGAGAAACACCAGCGCTGAGTCAGTGTTAACCTGGCCTTCTGCTGTGTGCCCATCCTGATCTGGCACACATGCGTGACACCCAGCTCTCTGTTTCCTCTTGTAGGTGGCCAAAGAGTAGTTGAGTGATTTGGGTGGTTTGAGGGTGTGCCAGGGGTAGAAGGAACCAGCCACTTGAGTTTCAGAGTTTTCTGAAATTAGTGACTGCCGGGTCCTGAAGCAGCCACCTGAAGAGAGGAATTAGCAAGATTGGGGAGGGAAAGAGACTTCCCGTGCAAATGTTGGGGGGCAAAAGCTGTTGAAAAACAAACTTCTCCCAGGCTTTGCACACTCCTCTCAGGGTCTTGAGCTTCCCAAGAGTTCCTGGGACCACCTTGCCTGTGGCCTGTGGGCTGTGGAAGTGACAGCCATGGGTACACAGCATAGTCTGGCAACTTCTGAAGCTGATTCTGCTTAGGCCCTTGTCTGAGGATGCCAGTTTCCTTGCATACCAGCTACTAGAATCTGTGAAGCAACCAGGGAGTCCATTGGTGCTCCGCAGGCTGGCCTGGAATTCACTGTGTAGGTAGGCCAAACGGGCCTCAGACTTTTGATTCTTCTGGCCTTCCTGTGTAATGTTAGGATTATATATATGCATGTGCCATCACACCAAAAGGGGGCCTCCTAGATACACAGTGTTTACTGATTGATGCTTCTCTCCATTCTGTCCGTACGAAGGAAATAAGGTGCACAAGGAATTTTCATTGGGTAGAAAGAAACCCAGATGAAGGAAAGGTATACAAGGGTGAGTGGGTGCCAGGCAGTACCATGAGATAGATACTTTGCCTGCTATTGGGCACAGACCCTTCCACCTCCTCCTTTGGACTAGAAGGCGTCCAGGGAACTCCTTGTCTAAGGTTAGGTTCACCTTAAATCCTTTGTGAACTTTCCCCAACAAGGCCATCAAACTCCACTCCTCCCTACTCAGCCCTGTGGTGAGAACTAGACCCATGTGGAGATGAGTTCCCAGAGTGCTTGGAGCTAATTTGGTAGGCAGGGAGACTTGGGAACAGTCACATTCAGTGTGACTAGCATTTGGTAGAGGATTCTAGAGGGCTAAGACTTGGAGGACAACACTGAGCAGTAGACACCTTGACAGCACCCAAGTGGGCTGGAGTTGATAGTCCCCAGGGCAAGGCTAGCTGTTCGAATCAAATGGATGATGGACTTGGTCTGGGAAAGGAGTGGTAAGATGCAGCCATCTTTGAAAGCTATGCTCTGTGTGAACTCTACGGGACACTGGGAGTGTCCCCAAGGGGTTTTGACTGGCTGTATTTTAAGGCCCTACCTGCCATGTAGGAAAACACTCCAGTGTAACTTTGGCAAGCCATCATCTGGCATTCTCATCCGTGTGCAGGAGGTAGCTTTGATCTCATTGTGTACACACCACACACAAACACTTGTGGACCAGCTTGGAATGCTGGAGGTGTTAGGAAGAACATGGGAGGCTGTGGTGGTGCACACCTTTAATTCAAGCACCTGGGAGGCAGGGCAGCAGGAGGATTTCTGAGTTCAAGGCCAGCCTGGTCTACAAAGTGAGTTCCAGCACAACCATGGGTACACAGAGAAATCCTGTCTTGCGAAACTAAAAGCAAAACAAAAAACCATGGGATGTTTGTGGGGGTAGCTCAGTGGTAGAAGTGTTTGCTAGCATGAGTGAGAGGCCTGGGTTTGATCCCCTGAACTTGAGGAATAAACAAAACATCTCAGACAAAAGGACCCCTGCTAGTTGCTAACTCCTCACATGAGGGTGCGACTACCAGAAGGAATGTTCTGTCACTGATTGTCTTGGCATCCTTGAGGCTAACTCCTAAGTGGATGGATAGGAATGTGTTCAGTGTATCTTGGGACAGAGTTTTTGTTAGCCACTTGCTAACCCTTGATGACACACCCATGGGTAGTTGCGGGCAGTGATTATCCCCTTAAACCCTTGGTGTTCCTGCTCGAAGGGAGGGACTAAACACTGGGCAACTGTCCTTTCCCATCCTGAGCCATGGTGGACAGGAGTCCTAACCATCACTTATGGGTGTTTGCTCACATGGTTTTTGGTTTTGTTTGTTGTTTTTTGAGACAGGGTTTCTCTGTGGAGCTTTGGAGCCTATCCTGGCTCTCGCTCGGGAGCCCGGGCTGGCCTCAAACTCACAGAGATCCGCCTGCCTCTGCCTCCCGAGTGCTGGGATTAAAGGCATGGGCCACCAATGCCCGGTGCTCACTTGTTTTTAATAGAACTACAGGGGAGACATGGCAGTCTCTTCTCCCTGGGGATTGGTGGCACAGCTTAAATTGGGCTGTGGGGGCCATCCATACCATCATTTGGGGGCATTGTGCTTGATGCCAACTTTTGAAACGCTTGGAACCAACAGTGACCAAAGCTAGTTTAGTTTGGGGTTCACTGGTTTTGTAAGTTAAGCTTATCTAGATCCTGACTCTCAAAGCCCAAAAGTGTCCCTCATTGATGTGGTGGGAGGTACTTTTGGAAAATCACCCTTAATGCCATAGAGGGGTTGAGGTAGAAACAGTAGGAAAGCCAGTACAGCCGTGGTCAAGCGTAGGATGGCCCTCGCTCTATGGTACTTGTAGCATGCCCATGAAAACGTGGAGACTGAGCACCGAGGTGGGTCTGAGTTGCTTCTCGGTAGGCATGTTGTAGTGTATGCCTTTAACAGAGCAGGTAGCGTCCCGAGTTGGGAGGCCACAATGGGGTGCTGACTTGCACTAGCCCCTGCTCCAGTACATGTTTGGACATGTACAGGTTGAGCTGTGTGAGTGTCTGGGTTCGTGAACTCACCTGCTCCGCTAAGCGTCGTGAGGGTACGGCCACTGTGTGCCACCAAGCTGCAGGTGCGTGCTCCCTTTGGGTAGCCTGTTGCCGGGAGCTGTGCAGAGTGTACTTTCTGTGTGCTGGGATGCCCTTGGTAGTGCGAGCTCACACCCTCGTGTGCCGTGCCTGGGTGCGGCAGGTGGGCACCCCTTCCCTCTTGGCAGCAGCCTCGGCGGCGTGTAGCAGGGGGTGGGGGTGCCTCTGTTGGCTGCGCGCGCGCGCACGCCAGGCTCAGCACGCGCCCGTGCGCGCGCCCCGCGCCTCCAGCCCAGCGCTCGGAGCGGCTTTGGCTGCCACTGTCTGCTCCCCCGGGCCGCCGCCTGCTCCAGGCTGGGGCTTCTGTCCGCTGGGCCGCTCGCCCCGAGGCAGGAAGACGAGTTCGAGGAGGATGCCTGGGCCCGTGAGTACCGCGACGGCTGCGGGCCGGGCGGGAACAGGGCGCGGGCGGAAGATGGTCTTGGGGCCGACGGCCCTGCCTGCGGGTGGCTCAGAGCTTTAGCCCGGTAACGCCACCCGGACCCCGACCGGGACAGTGGGCAGCCCCTCCCCCAGCCCACACCGGAGGGAAGGAAGGAGGGGAAGGAGCGCCCGTGAGCGAGGGA